CTCATTGAATCAATGCAGAAAAGGAAACCTACAATACTTGTTTATAAATATTTGATGTCAGTTAATAAAGCTGATGTGCAAAGTCTCAGGAATTAATAGAATAAGGAGCCAGACTGCCCTATTTTGCCAATCGGATATGGCCTAAACTTTATACTTTCTGTGTTTCTGTGATTCTCAAGTTGTGGCTTGTTCAGCAAAAAAAATATTTATTATTTTATTTATTAGATTTTTACCCCACCCTCCCAGCAAGGCCGGCTGTTTAGGATATACTGGACACAAAGGCATCTTTTTGGTAAAGAACTAAGTAAAGTGTCTCATTGCTGGAACTTACAAGATGCATCTTTTAAACATATGCTATCCAGTTATTTGGTCTGTTTAGGAGGAAGTAATCACTCATACAAATTTTGTATGAGAATATTCATAGATCTTTGAGGATGCTTACATACTTTTAAACGATTTGCCTGTCTCCTGGAGACTGATAGTCAATTAAAATGGACCCTCTGTGCCCTTAACTGTTGTTAAAAGACCAATATTATAACACTACAAAGATAAATCAGAAATCAGTTGGTCAAACCAAGCTGATGTGAGAATACCATCAGGACGATCACCTAAGTAGAGCTTTAATTTTAGCTAGGAATCTCTGCTCTTGCACTATAATTGCTTCCAGCACTTTAGGAAAATGGATAATTGTATTTATATATTTATTTTCTGAAAGCCACCCTGAGCCTGCCTTGGCGGGGAGGGCAGGGTATAAATCGAACTAATAAATAAATAAATGCCTCACCCCCTGTCATCCAATGGACTGAGTGCCTTACACCCGTATCAACATTTGAACGTAAGGCATATGGATGACAATTGCACATGGACATATTTTTAGATATTTGGAAACCTTTTATATATGCTTATCTGTGGACTTGCCACCAGCGTTATATATTTTTTTTTATTTCCTGTTAGGAGGTTGCAATTAAAAATTAAAAATTTAGAATTGTATATGTGGCTCACATCTGCTTTAGTAGCCCTGATGGGGTACAAATTTTAGGTAGGGTACAAGTTTTAAAAATAAATAGATGAATGTGTAGGGGCAGTTCAGACTGCTTTTAAAAAGAACAATACCAGTACAACTCATTCATTTCAGGTCAGTATTGTAAAAAATCACTATGGGCTTGGATCCTAAGAACATGTTCAGTGAGCAATGGTTAGTCTCTGTCACAGAGCACTCTTCCTCTTGCACAAACACTTCCACTTGTGCAAGATCAAAAAGAAGTGCTAGCGGAAGAGGAAGTGTCCTCCATAGCAAAGTCTAACTAGCGCGCACTGAACTTGTTCATAGGATCTGTGCTGCCCCCAGTCAGTGTTAACTGTAGGTAATAGTAGTTTAGTAAGACTGCTGTGTATCTTTAAGAGTAGTTGCCCCTGGGAATTGTAGTTCTCAGTTAGGTGTTCCAAAAAGCATCCCTCTGACTGGCTCATTAGCGTAATTTCCTGAGCTCAGAGGCACGAAGATAGGAATTTTTATTGTTCTTTTCAATTTCTTTGTTTATCTATCCTTACCGCAAGGAGGGGGGAAACCATCTCTTTCTCAGCATGGCTATAGAATTGATCTGAATCACAAAATGTAACTTTTCCATCCACCCATCAGCTTTTACCATGAGTAATGATCTTTTGAATGCATGTGGAGTGAAATAAAGATGATTTAAGTCTCTTCAGTGGTCGTGCATTTGCTCACACCTAGAAAGCGCTGGGCTCAGCCGGAGCTAGCGCCGGGCAGGAATAGGATCCAAGACACATTCCTTATGTGAATGTCTGAAAATCAGGCATTTATGAAACATAACACTTCATAGCTAACCATGGTGATTCCTTTGTAACTACAGCCTATACAACTGAGCCAATATTTTTACTTTTCTTCAGTCTTCAGCAGAGACAGGGATCCACAAAAGGTTGAACAGGGGTGAAGGACTCCTCCAACATTTTGTTAAAGCAAGGAACTGTGTACATACTCTGAAGAACCTGCTGCAGCCTAGGTAAAGTATACTTAGCTGAGATAGTTCAACTGTATTGCTTTTTATTTTGGAATTCTGTGCACTGTGTTCTTGTGTGGTCTTTTCCTCTATGTTCTTGTTCTGTCCTTTTCCCACACCCTTTTTAACCCAACCAACCTTTTGCCTTTCCCCCTCTATCTTTTATAATAAACTGTGTTTTATAAAGACTTTTTTTTTTTGGTACAACCTATTTCTCTGGGATATTTCTCTGAATCGCTTCCCTATGTGCTAGAATGCTACATAGTGGGTTATAAGGCATTTTCTAGGGTTTCTACCTTGTCACTACGTTATTGCTCTAGCATTCCGCTAGAAGGATACTTTCATAGCAGGTTAGCCTAGATGTCCTCAGGAGATCCCTGAGTGGTGACAGTTGGTTATCAGGGTGCTCACCAGGGAACCCTTGATCTAAATGAGTTTCCCAACAAAGAAAGACACCATTCCCCCCAATATCTGAATGCAATTTAAGATCATTAAGTCTTTGGTCCATAAGATGCTCCCTTGGTCAACCACTGTACTGTTAAAGCATTCTGGTAAACAGAGCCAAAGAACAGCCTGAAATTATAGTATGTCAGCACAGAAGCCTTTGGGAGCAAAGTATGTAGGGCAGAAGTATAAAAATTAATGTATTACACTGATTATGTTCTTTTAAAATGCAGTGATTACTTCATGAATATAAAAAAGTAGTATTTTAGACTTCAGCTTCTGTCAATGGTGATTAACTCTGTACCGCTGATTAAAAGTGTAATGCAAGGAAACTTCACAGCAACTCAAGTATTACTAGACAATATTGCTAAAAATCAACCATTAATAGCATTACTAGTATATCATAACAAAAAAAGCCCCACCAGACCCAAGAATCTAAGATAAACTAGAAATATTTCCACAGTAGCCATAGTGATCACTGTTCTGATCACTACTGTGAAAACACAGTATGAAATCTAAAGGAATTCAGAATTCGGGAATATCTGTTTTATCTTGCCTTATGATTCCCCGAAGCATTCTTTGGCCATGGTATAGATCTACGTGTGTGTATGTGCTATTAAGTCATAACCAATTTATGGCAACCCCAGGAAGGGGTTTTCAAGGCAAGTGAGAAGCAGAGATGGTTTGCCATTACCTTTCTCCAATATGGATCTAGTGACATACAAACAGCTGCACACCACTTGCATGCCACAGTTTGTGGCTCCCGGTGTACATGTGCATCTGCCTCAGATGCGCACACATAATCTTAATTCCACCATGGACTTTCCTTGTTGATTTGGGATACATTTGTAGAATCTCTGAGGCTTGCCTCAGATCCACACTTTATGGATCTCCTCTCATGGCCATCCTCTCAACCACCACCACCACAAGTGGCTCTTTTGCAGTCAACCTGTGATGAAAATTCACGTGAATGGTTCAGAACGCAAGCCTGAATCCACTGGAGCTTTCCCACAAACTGAACGATTTCCACCTGCAGAAGCCAACTCTCTCTCCTCCCTGCTCCTGTGGAAGCCCAAAATGCCCCCGTTCCTTGGGTAGAAACAGTTCCATTTACAGAAATACTCTGGTGAATCCAAGCCAGAATTCAGAACAAGCTAGCACTAATTCAGTATACGCTATTTTTAGACAGCAACATGTCAATTTCACACAGCAAAAGCAGTTACAGTTTGCATGGGATTGGATCCAAAAGTGTAGTATCACTTCTGCTGAAGGAGGAGATTTTTTTCCTGATTGCTCCTCCTATTGGAGGCTCCCATTTTGCCCCGCATGCTGAGGGTCACCTTACCCCACAGAACAGAATTTCAGGGAGTCTGGAGGTCTGCAGCAGGAGGAAGAGGCACAGAAGCCACTAACCTGGAAGTGCCAGATAATGTATAAAAATCTGCAAAAAATGCATTTTTGAAGAAGAAAAAGAAGATGAATAGGAGGAGATTGGATTTATACCCCGCCCTTCACTTGGAGTCTCAGAGCAGCTTACAATCTCCTTCCCTTTCTCTCCCCCAAGAGACACCCTGTGAGGCAGGTGGGGCTGAGAGGGCTCTGACAGAAACTGCTCTTGAGAGAACAGCTCTGAGAGAACTTTGACTGACCCAAGGTCACCCAGCAGCCTTCCTGTGGAGGAGTGCGGAATCAAACCCAGTTCTCCAGATTAGAGTCCACCGCTCTTAATCACTACACCAAACTGGAACAAAACGTGGGCTATTATGGCCAAAACTGCAACTGTCCTTAAGTGCAAACATAGCCCTTATACTTATTTATTTAAAATATTTGTAAGCTCACCTTTCACCTGAACACCTCAGGGAAAACTGATCTACATTGATTTCAAAAGAATACCACTGTTTGTATGTGTGCTAAAAGAACAAATTGTTTGACATTAGCCCTTAAGGTGCCACAAGAAACGTTTTGTTGATCTTTATTAAGCAATATTATAAACACAATCTCCAAACAGAATAATCTAAATGAAATACAGCAAGTTTTCTAAACTTTCAATGTGCCATTGTATTTTTTCTCTTTCACCTAAGCACAAACAGGTGACTGTGATACGTTTAAAAGAACAAAACTGATGACACAGCATTAAAATCTGGATAATGTGCACTATTATAAAGTTGATTCAAATCAATGAGATTTGCATCAAGCAAATAAGCTCAGGACATGAGCATAAATTTGGGAGCCAGAGTGGGTTTCATTCAAAGTGTTGTTATATGTATTGGATCCAGCAGAACATTTCTGCTGATGAAAAGTGGGAAAGATTTTTGCTGACTCCCCCTTCAAATGTACGCCTCACACTCCCACTTCATTCTGCTCCTGGCAAGGGGATCTCCTGCCATCCCTCCCCCCAATCACTGGGGCTAGCAGCAGGAAAGGGAAGGTGAGGAAAGCTACCCCATTGACAGAAATCCAGTCTGTCAGCAAATATTTTCAGTAGAATCTGAGCCATTTTGCTTACATGAGGAGGAAAAAATGTTTGAAAAAATTCACCTTGACTATGCCACGGATGTGCATCTTTGCTATCATCTCTGCTGTGTAGAGAAACATCAGTAAAGTGTCTAGAGCAAACGTCACATACTGAAGCGGAGGATAATGCTCGAAGGTCTTCGGGGTGTTCATGCAAACAGAAATGACGCTGATGATGGCACAGATGCGTAGTAAAGAATGGACCCACTGAGGAACAAAGAGGCAGGAATCAGGTTATCATCAGAAGTTAAAAATATGCCACGGTTAACTGTTCTTTTTAATGAGCTCTTATGACCTACATTTTTTGGGGGAAACAGGAAATTGGTATTTCTCCTCAGGTATGCTCGTTTCAGCACTGTAAACAATTATTCAAGGGAGGGGGCAATTATACATTTTTCTGTCAGGCCACTCCTCCTTGCCAGTTCACCACCGCCTGCCAATGCAGACAAAAATAATTTTTAAACAAACTAACAAAAATGTGGACCTAGTATCTTTGACAGACTAAACTTAGGGGTCCCCAACCGTTTTGAGCCTGTGGGCGCATTTGGAATTCTGACACAGAGCATGGGCACAACCACGAAAAGATGGCCACAGGAGGAGTCACACGCACAGAGGAAGCCCAAGTGCATGGCAGAAGGGTAATTTAAATGCCCTGGGGAAGAGGAGTGAGGGAATAAAACCAACACTGTGGTGGCAGGAGCCACTGAAACAACGTTATTTTACACTGCACAGCCAATCAGATCTCCAGTGGCCACTCAGAAGCCCTGCTGGGCAAGAGCCCCACGTGGCCCCCTCCCACTTTCTAAAAAAAACCCCTTGGTGGGCACCAGGAAAGGTGTTGGTGGGCACTGTGGCAGCCAAGGGCACTCTGTGGAGGACCCCAGGTCTAAACTTTCCCAACTATTCCACTATTTTCTTTTTGTTAATTCCTGATGATTTGCAATCTATTTCTCAATTCAGTCTATTTGGTAACCACAAAGGTATTTACAGTATTAACCATCAAAAATTATTTCTAGACTGTTAGAATATAAATACTTGTTAGAAAACAGTACTTGAGCCTTTATAACTCATTTTGATCACTGTTCTGTTACCTTATTCTTTGTAAAAATCTTATTTCTAAGCCTCCACTTTTGGGCTGTTTGAGAATGATCAGGGATATGAACTAGGCCTACCAGGGCTATTTTTGGGGCAGGAACGCACAGGAACGGAGTTCCGGCTGGCTCCCAAGTTGGCCACGCCCAGCAGGAACTCATTAGCATAATAGGCCACACCCAACAGCAGGAACTTATTAGGATTGGCTACATTAGGGATGTGTGGCCTAACATGCAAAGGGGTTCTTGCTACAAAAAAAAGCCCTGGGTTTTGACAACAAACAAGGTGAACAGAATAAGAGGCAAAAGGCTGGATGACCTAACTTCTGGTAACATGGTGGTGTGGCCTAATATGTTCATGAGCTGTGTTGTCGGGTGTGTGGCCTAATATGCTAATGAGTTTCTGCTGTTGGGTGTGGCCTATTATGCTAATGAGTTCCTGCTGGGCTTTTTCTACCAAAAAAGCCCTGAGGCCTACCAATCTCTCTCTCAGGGCTGCCAATCACAGGATGGGAAATTCCTGGAGATTTGGGGGTGAAACCTGGGGAGGGCAGGGTTTAGGGAGGGACCACAGCACATGGCACACAGTTTACCCCTCCAAGCAGCCATTTTCTCTGGAGAACTGATCTCTGTAGTCTGGGGATCAATTTTCTGGAAGATTTCCAGGCCTCATCTCTGGAGGTTAGCAACTCTACTCTCCCGCCTAGCTACAGTCTATCAGGTATTCATTTCTCCTTCCCAATATGGAAGGCTTCAAAAATGCTCACAAACAGATCCAAAAATCATTACCTTTGTATCATAAAAGCCAGATTTTAAAAAATAAGTTGAAAACTGCAGGCATGATCCAGCTACTTTTACGAATTTACAAAATCTATATCCTGCCTTCACTACAGCCAACAAAATGGCTAACAAATTAAAGGGTATATAATAAAATCACTTTTTTCCGTGGGATGTCAGGTTGCAACCAACTTATGGCAAACCCTGTAGGGTGTTCAACCACAAGAGGTGATTTACCATTGCCTGTCTCTGCACAGTGACCCCTGGCATTCCTTGCTGGTCTGCCATTCAAATACTAACTATGGCCAACCCTGTTTAGCTTCCAAGATCTGATGAGACTGGCCTATCCTGGTCAGGGCAAAACCACATTTTAAGACCATAAAAATAACACACACACCCCAACACACATCATTAAAACAATTAAATACAGAGCCAAAAACATTTAAACAGCAATTAAACCATTTTGATTCAATGCGACAGAAATTTATGTGCATCCTTCCCAGGTGTTTCAAAGTATGTTCTTCCTATTTCCATGAAAGCACTCTCTGTCTTGGAACAAAATTCCAACTTAATTTGAATAAGTCATTCATGGGGCTCTCTCAGATGGCTTTTTAATCACTCTCCCCCGGCCCAGCTGAGGAGAAACAGGGAAGTGGGTGTTCCCTTTACCTAATCCCTGACTCCTCCCAGAACGAAAACATGATTGATCTTTTCCATATTGTTACACTAGTATAGCAAATCAGACTGAAAAAAAGCTTAGCTTTATCACACTCTTATGTTTTTGCTTTCTCCTTAAAAGTAGGGATGCCAGCCTCCAGGTGGGACCTCATCTCCAGACTAGAGAGATCAGTTCTGCTGGAGAAAATGGATGCTTTGGAGGGTGAACTCTATGGCATTGCACCCACTGAGGTCCCTGTCCTTCCCAGGCTCGATCCGCAAATCTCCAGGAGTTTCCCCACCTGGTTCTGGCACCCTATTTAAAAGTGTTTTAAAGATAACCAACTTACAGGTTTGTTAATCCACAGGATATCAGCATTGTCTGATAAAGATTCATCAGGACCGAAGTCTGTCACTGGCTGGGCCTCCACCCGAGAACTCTGTTTTCTTTTAAGCATGATGAATTAGCTTTGATAGTTCAAAACCCTGAAGCCCCCTGAAAAAAACCAGAAAAAAATAGAAATTATTACAGTAAACAAAAATAATCATTAATTCCTGGACTCGTTTTAAAATATTTGAACATTCTCTCCCATTACAATACGCTAGCAAGACTCCATCCCACATCAAGAGGACATTCCACTTCTCTCTTCTCCTACCAGCTGAGGTATATTCTCCACACTGTGCAAATCAGAGATAAAAATTCATTTGAGTATGTTGGGTATTGCTTAATATGTAAGAAGGGACTCTCATTTTTATGGCTGAATCAAAATATCACTCTTTTGGCTTATTTTTAGTAGCAAATAACAACATTAACAGGGGGGAAATAGCCGATGGAAACACAAGGAAGGCTTTCAAAGGCCATTCAAGGGAAAAACAAGGCTGTGAAAGCAACGATAACACATATTCAGCTGGCAGGAATTAAAATCAAAGTAACACAAGTCAGAATCATTTCTTAAGAAGTCCAAGGCAACAAGAAGAGGTAGCTACAATGCCCTTCTCTCACCTGCCCCATGAGTGTGACCTCTGAATTTTGTTTTTATCAACAATCCTGTCGTCAGTCATGGTGTTCTTCTCACCTTCCAGACAAGGATGCTGAATTATTTCATGTTTTTCCCCTAGCCACAAAGGATATACATTAACAGGTACTGTTTGAAGAGGGTGGCAATGTGCCCTGACATACTTGTGACATGAAGATTAAACAGCCGATGAGCACAATAAGTAAGTGTCACTGAGCTCTAATCTAGTCCCTGATGAAAATTTCCCAGCTGTCATTTGTGGGAGTGAGAGTCCAAGCCGTTTCACACACTACATAGCAGGAAACCTGAATTTGCAATTATGTATGTTTATCAGGGAGCTGCATCCAGACCTGGCCTTTGGATGGTACATCTGCTCCCAAATACATGCTTGTCTCATCTACACAGGATATACTTTAGGTGCACAAAGGAATATATTAAAAAAAAACATTTAGCATCCCTCCATTCCCCATTCACTATTCCTATTTTGGTCTTCAAGGTGGAGGTGGCAGTCATGTGTACCAGGCAGCTTTATGAATTTTATCTATCTCACAGAACAAAGCAGGTCATCCATGAACTCTGGCCTACCAGGTGCCAATTTTTGCAGTCCCAAGGAGGCAGCAAAAAGGGACATTTATTAAGCTGACGATAGGATGCTATTGGTGGCGGGTGGTTTGCATTTAGAATAGTGGGTCACAGGTTGTTCAGGCCAAAATGACAGGATCCAGCTAATATCCTACCCAAACATAGGTCTCGAGGTAATGATAAAGCTGGAAATAGAAGATACTGGAAAGTGATGACTGAAATACACTAAATCAGGTCACCAGGGCTCATGCCAACAGCTTTCCTCGTGCCCCCCAAGTGTTTTTAGAATGGATGGAACCAAGTGGGCCTCTTTCCCAGCAGGGCTTCTGACTGGCCACTGGAGATTCAGTGAGCTGTACAGATTAAAATAACATTGTTTCAGTGACAGCTGCCACCAGTGTGTTGGTTTCCTTCTCTCACACCTCTTCCCTGGTGTATTTTTAAAATTACCTCACTTCTATCCTGCACTTGGGCTTCCTGTGTGTGGCTGGCCCAGCCTCCTACAGCAGCCATTTTGTGGCTAGCTCCATCTCCTGTGGCAGCCATTTTGCAGTTGCACACACCACCCTGTGTCAGAATTCCAAAGGCTTAAAAAGGCTGAGGAGCCCCGCACTAGATATTACTGGTCTGCTGACCCAGGCAGAAAAGGTCATACTGTTACTATTTGTACACTGTTTGGCCTCATACTGCCTGCCACCTGCCAGGTTCAGAGCAGTATAATCTTGCTTTTTTTCTGCATTTGAACAGGCTTCCATGGCTTGAAACAAAATTCCACATAGGTCCCTAACTCATGGTGTTCTTCTCACCTTCCAGACAAGGATGCTGAATTATTTCATGTTTTTCCCCTAGCCCAGAGAGGCAGCATGTTTATAGTTTTGGACTAGAATCTGTGAGGCTCAAATCTCCCCTCTGCCATTGAAGTTCACTAGGTGACCTTGGGCCAGTTACTCTCAGCCTAAAGCTACCTCACAGAGTTGTTATTGTGAGGTAAGATGGAGGAGGTAAGAACTATACTGTAAACCATTCTGGGTTTCCATTGGCCAGAAAGTGGGATCTACATATCTACATAAATAAAATAAACCCAAGAACCCCTGGAACCTCACAATTTAAAAGCCTTGTGGAATCAAGAAAGGTTTAATCCTTTCAAAGGCCCACAAAATGTGTTTGTGACTGACACTTCAGGAAATGGCTTGACATTTTCATTGCCAGTAATCAGTTCTCATGGAAGCTGCAGAACAAACAAAGAGAAGGGTAGAAAAGGAAAAGAGATAAAGGATAAGGCAAGAAATGAAAGAGCAGGGCTGTGAAGACACCCATTCAAAAGGTAGAAGCCCTAGGAAATCAGCAAGCAGGAATTTCTGAGAATATTTTATCATTATGCAGGTCTATATAGATGGCACTAAGGTAATAAGCAAATAAAAGATAATTATACCAAAAGGGCATATGCCGCCTTTGGTCTTTGTGCAAATCTCATTTTAATCCAGCGAGAATGCTACTGTGGAGTGGGGGACCATATGGCAACCTCACTCGATTCTCTCTCGGGCTAACTTGAAATAAACACATATTCTGTTATCTGAGTGAGCTAGGCAGCTCTGATAAGCAGCCACAAAAAAAAATTATTTTTTTTAAAAAAGGCACTGTGATTTGGTTTTAAACACACACACAACACAACCCAGGCAAAGGACTGTGTGCTACTATATGGGCAGCTAAAGGTGATTCAAGTCACGTGAGCTGGTGGAATGCACCTGACTCCAATGGAACACACCAGTCCAAAGCCACACACAGTGGTAGGACACGACACATTTAAAGCAGTTTTAAAACTTGCTATTTTCAGCATGTCTCTCTGGTGAAGATCAACGTCTTCAGTTAACCAACCTAGCACCTATCTTTACGTTCCCCTGGGGTCAGGGGACATTCGAGTACTACCTATACCCCCTCCTGATGTACTGTCTGATCGCAGACACACAGCACGGGGTCAAAGGGTGCGGGCTGCATTGATGACTGTGGTTTGTAACAATGAATAAAGAGCAGGCTCCTTTTGCCTTCTTGTTTAGCAATTTAAAAAAATCAAAAAAAATCTTTACGTTCATTTCCACACCTCACCATCAGCCTTTGGGATCTCTCCATGTGACTTTTCATCACTTTGGGTGGTAGCCTAGAAATACTCTGTGGACTAAGCCCCACAGAATAAAACGGGACCTACTTCTGTACAGACCTGCTTAGGGTGGCTCCCAAGGTTACTGAATGTTATGTTCTAAATTATGTTTAAGCTGCAGTAGTCCGGTTTTCTCTGTTGGGATTGGCTCCAGTGTTCCCTCTAAGCTGAGTTAGTGTGAGCTAGCTCACAGTTTTTTAGCCTCCAGTTCACACATTTTTGTCTTAGCTCAGGAAGGATGGCTCCAGAACAAATTAATCTATGCAGTAGCCAAATCACCTGCTCACAAGATTAATGCCGGTAGCTCACAAAGTAGAATTTTTGCTCACAGGCCTCCACAGCTTAGAGGGAGCATTGATTGGCTCCCTAACAAAGACTGCCTATTGGTCCTAAAGCCATACAGAATGTCCTATCCTGAGGCTCTGCTTAGATCCAATCAGACCTCCTGAATCTGGTAACATTGTATATAGTTCAGTTATGGAATGGTATAAGTTTGAGTGCCGCTCTTTGAAGAGCAGTCTTGAGCTGAGCAATGTTTGAATAAAGCCTTTTATTTTGACCATCGTCTCCTGCCTTCAATACTTAAAACTGAACATCTGCCGAATCCCAGCCAAAACATGAAACATCCATTTTATTTAAAATATTTATAAACCAACTTTTCAGGGACCTGCTTGGGGCAGCTCACAAAATAAAGCATAAAATCATCAATAAAATTAAAAATTAACAGCCATTAAAAACCTGCCAATAAAACCCAAAAGCAGGAAAGCACACAGAAACATAACTTCCACATCACCTCCATGCTTCTCAGTGGAAGCAGTTGACCCATTCAGCTGTGGGTTTTCAAGAAGCATTCAAACATGAAGAAAAAAAAATTAAACAGGAATTCAGTGAATGGAACTAATTCATTCCAGCATAAGCTCTCATGAGTCAGAGCTCACTTCACCAGCTTTATGAAGTCTATGTCCATTAGGCAGATACATTTATAGCAGGTATGTCCAACAGGTAGATCATGATCTACCAGAAGATCGCGGAGGGGTCAGAGGTAGATCACCAGCCCCACTTGGTCTCCTGGTATAAAATAAAATATGTTCGCAGTTCTTTCTGGATCTTTGTCTCTCTGTTTTGTTTTTGCTTATTTTGCTTACCAGTAAATGACAGAAGGTGCATTATAAATGGGGAGCCCGGTGGAACTCAACTTTAGTGGGTTAAAATCTAATTTGAAACTAATTTGAAACTTTATTTTCATGGTGGTAGATCACCGGCACTTTTGGCCAGAAAAAATAGATCACTACCTATTCGAAGTTGGACATGCCTGATTTATAGTATACTTCTGTAACAAGCAACCAACGGGTGGGAGTGGGGAAATGAATAATAAATCAGTCAATTCAGAAGGGGTGAGGACCATTCCTAAATGCTAAAGATAGGGCAGAGTAGGATTAACATAAAATCAGAACTAATGAAGAAAAGTGCAGTGACAAACAGAACAAGAAGAACTAATTAGCATCTGTAAAGGACGGTTCATGCTATTAGCACCTGTAATCAGTGAGGAAACCCAAGCCCTTGTTCAGGCCCTGGGGGAGGAAGAGTTTTGATCTCTTGATGAATCAAAATAGAGAAATTAAGCTATACTTGGGCATTTAACAGCCATCAAGGCACTTCACAAGGGGGGGAAATACGACACCATGAAATCTGAAGGACTAAAGTA